CCATTTTCGTGTATCGATTGCAAGTGAGGGGTTTAAGCAATGACACATGGAAAGAATATGCAATCCTCATATGCGCAGGGAGTACCAAGGAATAAGTCACAGGGTTTATAAGGCGTAGGACACGAAAGGGACCTATGTATCGAGGAGCAAGTTTCATGGAAGGAACCTTGAGTTTGACATGACGTGTGGATAACCAAACTCTGTCACCTACTTGATAGACAGGATTGGCACCCAGTCTCTTGTCAGGTTGGATTTTAGCACGTTTTGAGGAATTCTGTAGTGCCAAATGAACAGAATCCCAAGTGTCATGGAGAGAAGTTAAACGGGCATTCAAAGCCGGGATATCAGTATCTGAAAATTCAGAAGGTAAAACAGTGGGGTGATAACCTTGATTTACAAAAAAGGGACTATGATTGGAAGATTCATGAGTTGCGTTATTTCTGGCGAATTCAGCCAGGGGTAATAGTTCGTACCAGTTGGACTGATTGGCATCGATAAAGCAAATCAATTAGGATTCTAAAGATTGGATCTCTCTGCTGCGCCATTAGTCTGAGGGTGGTACGAAGAGGAAAAAGAAAGTTCTATACCCAATTGTTTACTGAAGGCACGCCGGAACTTGGAGTTAAATTGGGTACCTCTGTCAGAAACAATGTTTTTTTGGTACTCCATGTAATCGAAAGATCTCTTTCATGAATATTTGGACAAAATCTTAGGCAGACGGCCATTTTTTAAGAGGTATAAAATGTGCCATCTTGGAGAATCTATCTACAACCACAAGGATGGTGTTATACCCATTAGAACTGGGGAGTTCCACAATGAAATCCATGGCTAAATGGGTCCATGGAGCATTAGGTATTGGGAGTGGCTGTACCAACCCAGGAGGAAATTTGGGGGATGTTTTGGAAACAGCACATATTTGGCATGCCCCTACATAGTCTTTAATGTCGCTTCCGAGGGTAAGCCACCAAAACTTCCTGGAGATAGCAGAGAGAGTTTTATGTATTCCAGGATTACTTTTTTCCTCAATGATGGAGAGACGTACAGTTTGTCCAGAGGATTCTCCAAGGGTGCCTGAGTTTGCTCTGCTATTATGGCACAGAAAAGTGGAGAAGACACTTCGGAAACCGTAGTAGCAATAAGACATTCTTGGGAATACCTCTTGTTCAAGAATCTCATCTGTCTCAAACTGTCTAGACAGCGCATCTGCCTTGGTGTTCTGTAAGTAATGACAAAATTAAATCGGGAGAGGAATAATGACCATCTAGCCTGTCGGGAGGACAGTCTCTTAGCGTCCCCAATATAAGCCAAGTTCTTGTGATCGGTGAAAAGTGGCTCTTTGGAACCTTCTAAGAGATGCCTTCATTCCTTAAGGGCAAGTACAATGGCCAGTAATTCCCTATTCCCAATGTCATAGTTTTTCTCTGTAGGAGTTAGTTTATGAGAGGAAAAACCCACAGGGATGTAAAGATGCATCAGGACTTTCTCTTTGAGACAGAATGGCTATTACTCCCGTTTCTGACGCTTCTACTTCTAAAATAAAAGGTTTGATCGGGTCGGGGTGCGTCAGGACGGGTGCTGAAGCAAATAAAGATTTTAACTTCTCGAATGCTTCCTTTGCTTCCTTGGGTCATGAATTGCAATTTGCTCCCTTTTTGGTAAGATTGGTAATAGGAGCAATTACCGATGAGAAACCCTTAATGAATTTGCGGTAATAATTAGCTAATCCTAGAAAACGCTGTGTAGCCTTAAGACCTTTAGGTAACGGCCATTGTAATACTGCCTTCAGTTTTCGTTGATCCATTTTGAAGCCAGAAGCGGAAATGACATATCCAAGGAACTGTATCTCAGTCTGGTCAAACTGGCATTTTTCAAGCTTACAATATAAGCCGTTCTCTAACAAGGTCTTTAATACGATTCTAGGTTGTATGCACTCCTTAGGTCGAGTTTAGTGAATACTCGGGCACCTTTTAACCTGTCAAATAGCTCAGAAATAAGGTGAATGGGGTAGGCGTTTTTAATCGTTATTTTATTCAGACCCCTATAATCAATGCAGACGAAATAGAACCCAGCCCCAGCAGGTAGAGGATCTACGTATGTGAAAAAAAGCATCTTTAACGTACTCCTCTAAGCAAATAGTTTCTTGAGGAGACAGTGCATGAACTCCTCCTTTAGGAGGCATAGTGCCTGGTAACAAATTTATGGCACAGTCATAGGGTCTATGCGGTGGTAATGTCTCAGACTGAACGTTGTTGAATACTTCCTTTAAATCCAAATACTGCGGTGGGATTTTTGTGGTTAAGAGAGGCGCTATGGGCACATTGATAGTATCAACTCATTGTGACATCTGTTGTAAACAATGACCTCTGCAACTCTCTCCCCAACTCACTATCTCTCCTTCAACCCAATCTAAATGTGGATTGTGTTTCTGGAGCCAAGGAAAACTGAGTATTATAGGACATGTAGGGGAAGATATAACCTGAAAAATCATCTCTTCTGAATGTAAGATGCCTACTGAGACAGTGATCAGCAGGGTTTCATGCGTGATTGAGAGGCTGGGTAAGAGGTCTCCCATTGATAGCCTCTACTGCTATGGATCTATCTTTCTGCCTTAAAGGCAGAAGATGTTTGGCAGAGAATTCCTTATCAAGAAAATTCTCCGCTGCCCCAGAGTCAATCATGGCCTCACACTGAACAGTAGTATTCTTACAAGACAGAGTGATCTTTATAAGGAAGCGGTTAATTTAGGGGACATATACATCACACCTAAGGTTGGTCCCCGAACGTGCCTTAGGTGTGCGAGTTTTCCGGCCGAGCCAGATGCGAGCCTTAGATGTCGCATCTGACCACAATATAGACACAACCCCTCATTGCGTCTGTATTGTCTTTCTGCCTCAGTGAGTTTAGCAATGCCCAATTGCATGGGTTCAACCACTGAAGGTGGAGCAGGATTAACAATTACTGGGTTAGAGAAACGAGGAGCTATAGACAATTTGGTACATCTAGTACGCTGTTTATTTTTCTCCCTCTCCCGGAGTCTGTCATCAATATCAATCATATAGGCAATATAATCGTTAAGATTTACCGGAAGGTCTCTGGCTGTGGTCTCATCCTGTATATTTTCAGCCAACCCTTCAGCAAACGAAGCCACCAGACCACTGTTAGTCCAGTCTACCTCAGATGCTAGTGTCCTGAATTCTATGGCGTAATTGGCTACGGAGCAGGTGCCTTGCTTTATTCTCATTAAGGCTTTAACAGCGTATTTCTCTCCCCCCTTATGCTCAAAGGTAGCTTTAAAAGCCGTTAAGAATACATTATGTGACAGAACCATCCGTCTATCTATTGTGGTGGATTTGTCTATTTCTGCCCCACTTTGATCTATCTGTAGGGAAGGAAACGGGGGAAGCTTTGAAATGATATTCAATCTGGATTAGAAAAACCTCTGAAATCCTTAGAATCACCTCCGAAATGAGGAGGAGGTGAAAGGGTTATGGATGGAGGTTTATAAGCCACAGGTGCATGTACAGGTGGCAGAGCTACCGGTGGTACCAGGGGTGCTTCCAGATAAGTAGTTCTCTGGAGCAAGGTCTGGAACGCTTGGGCAAACTGATCTAACCTGTGGTCCAAATCCTCCACCCTGTTCTCACAGGCTTTCAAATGTTTACATAGTTCCACAGGATCCATGGCCCTGTTTTAATGTCTCGACTGCTAGTGTGGTCCAACACGCAGAAACTATGTAAACATATACATAAAAAAGGAAAGGAAATAAAAGGACAGAGCGTAAACCAGACCTTAGAATGGCCGGACTAATACGCTAGAGATAGAGAATGGTCAAAGGGAAAGCCAAGGTCAAGGAAGCCAGAAATACTCAGATACCATTGAAACAAGCCAAGTCAGGGGAACCAGAATTCGGAATAACCAGGGAAAAGCCAAGATCAGGATACCAGGAAGTAATATTCACAAAGATAAACTCTTGGGAACCAGGAACAGGAAACCACGACAGGGCAAGGAACTGGAGTGAATTAGGGATTTAAATATCCCTCTCCGGGCTCTGATTGGTGACGTCACACGCACGTCCGTATAAATTTGAGCTGCGGAGCTTGTGGTGTGCACGACCACGTGGTCAGCGCCATCTTTTATTTGGGCACAACACCCAGAATACGCGGAGGAGCGGTTCCCGGCTCGCCGGCGAGCAGGTAAGCTCACAATATCGGCAAGATCGTGCCGGTCGGGCTGCGACATGCGGCGGGCCGGGAGCCGCAACATAAGGTTTTAGCGATACCAGGGTGTCCAGCGGTTCTGGTGTCATGATAGAGTGACATGATTTCCTGTCTTTCAGGAACATCGACGAACAATTTATCAGCAGGTTTCTCTCTAGGTGCCTTGTTTTGTTTAGCCTGTATGACTTGCAAGATGGAAGAAGAAATAGAAAGAACAGTAGTAGCGATTATTCTCTCCGGGGGAATGACAGGGGTATCATCAAGCTCCTGTTTGTCGGTTGTTTCGAACTGTCTGGACAGAGCGTCAGCTTTAGTGTTACGATCACTACGATGTACTTGGAGATAATTGGATTACTTCCCAATTATCTCCAGGATAGAACACTCTGTGGAACTGGTTTTGGTCACAAAGGACTACGATCTATCTTTTGAACCACCAATTTGTATGATTTTGACGTATGTTTGTATTTGGAGTATGCCGATTCTGAAAATGTAAGTTATATGTGAATGTGATGTATACTTTTCAAGTTATGAATAATGTGGAAAAATTGTATTTCTCTGCTTGTTATGATTACATTACCCATTGTGTAAGGTAATTGAATCACAGGCAGAGGGGAGGATTTTGTGTGGGAGTGTCTGAGTGTATTGTATGTGTTTATTGGTTGTGTTCCAAAACCCTGTGGATGGTACTAATGTGTAAGAATGTGTACATAAGCACAATAAACCCACAGCTCTGACTGTTCACTGCTTGACCCTCAACATGGAGCTTTGTCTCGTTCTTGGGGGGTTTATTGTATGCTGTTCCAGTTTGACTGCTAGGAGTGTAAACCTATTCGTATGGTTTTTCCTATTCGGCGGTTTACACCACTCATATGGTTCCGGTTCGGCCGTTTACGACATTCATATGGTTTCCTGTTCGGCGGATTGGTGTTCTGCAGTAGCTGTGCCTGTGTCTCTGGAGGGAAAGATCTACTAAACGGCGGTTTAACCCTTTTATGCTGAGGGTGCCGTTACACCATTTAACTCCTTAAGGACCAAACTTCTGGAGAAAAAGGGAATCATGACATGTCATGTGTCCTTAAGGGGTTAAACAAGCCAAGTCAGGGAAACCAGAAATCGGAACAACAAGGAATAGCCAAGGTCAAAATACAGAATCACAAGGATAAACGCACTCTCGGTAACCAGGAACAGGAAACCACGACAGGACAAGGTACTGGGGCAAATCAGGGATTTAAATATCCCTCTCTGGGCTTTGATTGGTCAGAGGGTGACCTCTGAACCCAGTACATGCGCATGCGTTGGCGTTGTGACGTCACGCGCACGTCTGTATAACTTTGAGGGGCGGAGCCCTTGATGGAGGCGACCGCATGGTCGGCGCCATCTTTGGTTTGGGCACACTGCCCAGAAGATGCGGAGGAGCGGTTCCCGGCGAGCAGGTAAGCTCGCTTTATCGGCGCGGTTGCGCCGGTCCGGCACAGACGCTCTGTGCGGCAGGCCGGGAGCCATAACACAATCACCCTAGGAGGGAGCTGATTGCGGAGTTAACAGAGCTGGACCAGAGCTTCACCATGGCAGAGACCCCAGTGATGGCTGGCGATGAAAAAAACTAGGATTGTCCGGGAAAGGCTTTCACTATACGGGCCAAACCCCTTTATGGAACTGGTACAGCAGCTGATGGCAGAGGCGGACATACAAAAGACTAGAGCTCACAAGCTCAGCGTAATCACTGCTTGTCACGGCCCCACGACAACCACCCCTTCAGAGACCACTGGGAGGCAAAAAATTCCATTTGCAGCATTCAAGCCCTTCCTAGAGAGTGAGACGGGAATCGACAAATTCTTAACGGATTTCGAGAGGCAATGCGCACTCCACCAGATTCCTAGTGAACAATGGCCCACAATACTGGCAGGGAAATTATTGGGACAAGTTTTGGACGCATTCCGGACACTCACTACAGAGGAAGTGACCCAATATGCGGTAATTAAAGATACCATACTGAGACGTTATGCTGTTACCCCCGATGCGTATCGCAGGCAGTTTTGGAATACGAAAAAGAAACCGAACGATACACATACCGAATGGGCGCACAGTATGCGGAGGGCTGCCACACATTGGATCAACGGATGCCAGGCAGTAACCGCTTCAGAGATACTGGAACTATTTCTGTTGGAACACTTTTTCGATGGCATAGAACAAAGAGAGGGAATGGCTCAAAGACAGGAAACCAGGCACCCTCAACGAGACAGCAAAATTGGCTGACGAGCATCAGAACTCACGATTGCAGGAGTCCCTAAATCTCCAACCGGTAAGCCGAACGGAAACCAGAGAAAGTTACAGAGCGACAACTCAAAATGACTTTTGATCTCCGGTACCAGCGGGACCTACCCGATACACGGGACCACCCAACAACAACCCACAACCCATGACCTACTTGCTTCAAGTGCAAGCAACCAGGGCACCTCATAGCCAGTTGCCCCTTCAACAACAGCTACCCTTCCAGAAACTACAACTCAACCTCGTCCGGACCTCCCCGACAAACACGGGCGCTTTGTGTGGAAAGAGAGATCACTATGGAGGAATACCGGGGGCCACTACACGAAGCCGACCCTGTGTATGTAGCTGCCAACAACCGCCAGCATCACAGACAAGAAGTATGGTTGGAGGGTCTCACCGCTCAGGGACTCAGGGACACAGGCACTACCATCACTCTGGTCCAGAGTCGCCTAGTCCCCGAGCATAAACGTTCAGGACACACTGTGGCCGTCCGAGTGGCCAGGTGGGGATGTATAGAAATTACCTACCGCTAAGGTGCATTTGGATTGGGAAGCGGGGAAGGGAATTGTGAATGTGGGAATAATGGATAATCTGCCAGCCGAGGTCCTGTTGGGCAACGACCTAGGTCCAATGACTTAAGCCTATGCCCCCTCTTACAACACTGAGGCTCATCCTGTGACCACCTGGGCACAAGCAAGGACACAACAAGACCCTTCACCAGTGTGGGAGACTCAGGTAAGACCAACCCGACTGTGACCGATCCCCAACCCCCCGTTCCCTGGGACACCCCCGCAGCTTTTGAAACTAAGACCAAAACGGACCCAACCCTCCAAAAGTATAGGGAACAAGCCAGTTAAGTCAGACAAGTTGCAGGCAGCCTGGCAGGGACCAGGGAGTGGAGAAGCGAGGGGACACCACATATGTAATCGCTAGCTGCCACAATGAGAACCTGCGGAAAATCTTCCATGTCAATATGCTCAAGGAGTATCTTGAGAGACAGGAAGACGTGGTAGCCATATGTAGTCCCGCTCACGAGGACCCTGATAACCTCCCTATACCCAATCTATTAGAACGGAGCTCCCATCCTGACTTAGTGGAGCAAGTACAGATAGGGGATAGACTTAACCCAGTAGAGAGGGAGCAGCTAAGCAAATTATTGCAAGAGAAATGCTCTACCTTTTCCCAAGAACCCGGTTATACCAGCCTCACTACTCACCAGGTAGACACCCCGGGACAGCAACCCCTAAGACAGGCTCCTAAACTCAATGACAAGACCGTGACAGATGCCTACCCGATGCCCAGGGTAGGTGAGCTACTCGATTGTATAGCCAGAGGAAACTATCTAACTACCAATGACCTCTGCAAAGGTTACTGGCAAATTCCCCTGGCCAGGGAGGCTACCCACAAGTCGGCATTTGTCACCCCGTTCGGCTTGTACCACTTTAAGGTTATGCCGTTCGGAATGAATAATGCTACATTCCAGCGCTTGGTGGATAGACTCCTTGATGGCTTCCAGGATTTTGCTTGTGCATACCTGGATGACAACTTAGCTCATGTAGGAATGGCCTGACCCTGAAGCCAGAGAGAAATGCCATTTTGGAATGGCCGAAGTCCAGTACCTGGGTCACCGAGTGGGGTGTGAAAAACAGTGACCAGAACCAGCCAAGATAGAGGTGGTTGCAAATTGGCCCACAGCTCGCACCAAGACCCTGGTTCTAGCCTTCCTGGGCATTGCTGGGTACTACATAGAAACATAGAATGTGACGGCAGATAAGAACCATTCGGCTCATCTAGTCTGCCCAATTTTCTAAATACTTTCATTAGTCCCTAGCCTTATAGTTAGGATAGTCCTATGCCTATCCCACGCATGCTTAAACTCCTTTACTGTGTTAACCTCTACCACTTCAGCTGGAAGGCATCCACTACCCTCTCAGTAAAGTAATACTTCCTGATATTATTTTTAAACCTTTGTCCCTCTAATTTAAGACTATGTCCTCTTGTTGTGGTAGTTTTTCTTCTTTTAAATATAGTCTCCTCCTTTACTGTGTTGATTCCCTTTATATATTTAAATGTTTCTATCATATCCCCCCTGTCTCGTCTTTCCTCCAAGCTATACATGTTAAGATCCTTTAACCTTTCCTGGTAAGTTTTATCCCGCAATCCATGAACCAGTTTAGTAGCCCTTCTCTGAACCCTCTCTAAGGTATCAATATCCTTCTGAAGATACGGTCTCCAGTACTGTGTACAATACTCCAAGTGAGGTCTCACCAGTGTTCTGTACAATGGCATGAGCACTTCCCTCTTTCTACTGCTAATACCTCTCCCTATACAACCAAGCATTCTGCTAGCATTTCCTGCTGCTCTATTACATTGTCTGCCTACCTTTAAGTCATCAGAAATAATCACCCCTAAATCCCTTTCCTCATATGTTGAGGTTAGAACTCTATCAAATATTCTGTACTCTGCCCTTGGGTTTTTACGTCCAAGATGCATTATCTTGCACTTATCCACATTAAATGTCTAGTTTACCTAAATTATTTCTCCTTTGGCTTATCCCTCCTGGAACATCAACCCTGTTAAATATCTTAATATAATCAGCAAAAAGACATACCTTACCATCAAGACCTTCTGCAATATCACTAATAAAAATATTAAAGAGAATGGGTCCAAGTACAGATCCCTGAGGTACCCCACTGGTGACAAGTCCAAGCTTCGAATATATTCCATTAACTACAACCCTCTGTTGCCTGTCACTCAGCCACTGCCTTACCCATTCAACAATATTGGAATCCAAACTTAAAGATTGCAGTTTATTGATAAGCCTTCTATGTGCAACAGTGTCAAAAGCCTTACTGAAATCTAGGTAAGCAATGTCTACTGCACCACCCTGATCTATAATTTTAGTTACCCAATCAAAAAAATCAATAAGATTAGTTTGGCATGATCTCCCTGAAGTAAACCCATGTTGTCTCTGATCTTGAAATCCATGTGTTTTTAGATGTTCATCAATCCTATCCTTTAACATGGTTTCCATCACTTTCCCCACTACTGAAGTAAGGCTTACTGGCCTATAGTTGCCCGACTCTTCCCTATTACCTTTCTTGTAAATGGGCACAACATTCACTAACTTCCAATCTTCTGGGACTACTCCTGTTAATAATGATTGGTTAAGTAAATCTGTTAATGGTTTTGCTAGTACACCACTAAGCTCTTTTAATAGCTTTGGGTGTATTCCATCAGGTCCCATTGACTTATTTGTCTTTACTTTTGACAGTTGAAATAGAACCTCTTCCTCTGTAAACTCACGTGTAATAAATGACTCATTTATCCTTTTTCTCAACTGAGGTCCCTTTCCTTCATTTTCATCTGTAAATACAGAACAAAAATATTCATTGAGGCAGTCAGCTGACCTTTATCCTCTTCTACATACCTTCCTTCTTTTGTTTTTAATCTAACTAATCCTTGTTTTACTTTTCTTTTCTCATTTATGTATCTAAAAAATGTTTTATCCCCCTTTTTTACTGACTGTGCTATTTTCTCTTCTGTGTGTGATTTGGAAGCTCTTATAACTTGCTTAGCCTCTTTCTGCCTAATCTTATAGATCATTTTGTCTTCCTCACTCTGGGTTTTTTTATAATTCCTAAATGCTAACTTTTTGTTTTTAACTATTTTGGCCACATCTGCGGAGTACCACAGTGGTTTCTTGAATTTTTTGCTTTTACTGACAAGCCTAATGCAATT